CGAACGGTTTTAGTCGTATAAGTTAGTGCACCATTACTATCTTCTGCATTGATGTGAGCTAGGTTTCATGGTTTAGAAACGGCCCGTGGTATCGAGCACGACGCTAAACCAAACATACTGTGTAGTGTTTGTATAAATGCTATTAGAAGTGCAGGTGAAAGATGAAGATACAGTGATTACCAACGATAATAAAGAGGTTGTAGTGTCGCACACCTCCCCTTCGCGCGGCGCCTCCGGCCGCGCTACTGGTCAGGGTCGGGCAGTTCACGGCTGTTTGTAGAGCGGGGCCTTGCGTGCGCGCGCAGATGCGAGGAGCGGGTTCCAGTTGTAGAACAATAACGAGCGGTAATCAGTGAAAAGTAAACTTGGTTCCTTGTTCTTTGTAGTAGGTGGGAAATATACGACTGAGAAACTAATGCGCCGGGCTAAAACGGGGAAAGGGTCGATCGCGCTCATGAGGATGACACCCCTTCTCCTACGCTCACCTGTACTCCTGGGCATGACTTCCAACCCAACGTGACACCCGGTTGACTCGATACTCAAGACAGTATATAGTTCGTGTCATCCGTCCTTGAAGCTGGCGAGGCAAGTGCAAACTCCCTCCTCAAGGTCTTCACAATTCCCTCTGCACCAACCGTACCTCGCAGTCGGCGCTTGAACAGTTCCCACTTGATACAGTAGGACCCTGTGTGCTTTAACACGGACTTTACCTTCTTCGCATCTGGTGCACGCTGCTGGAACGACCCCTGCATTCCCGGGTACGGGACATTCTCCCCCACTTGACGTTTGCCGTCCTCGGCGAGCGGTGCACCGGAGGCGAGGAAGTAAAGTCCGGGTAACAGAACCATAAGCAGCACGGTTAGGAACAGACTTATCGTCGTGGTCACGGCGGCAGCAAACGCCAGTACCATCGCGCCCGTATCACGTGCTATCTTGAGACGCGTCGCCTTCTGGTACCACGCAAACACTTCCTTGTTGAGTACACTTGCTACCCAGACAACAGCATGGTTCACTATTCCACCTCCAACGTCTCGATCGTCGGAACTTTCATCCAGCGCGGCTAGTGGTCGCTTGAAGCGTTCTGAGCAAAGCTCCTTGTCACACACCCTGCTCTCCTTGGCTACCTTCGTAACCATTCCTTTAAGAAGGGTACTCAGTTCCTCCTTCATTGCCAACTTTAGGCTCGACGGAATTATTCTTATCATCTTCTCCATATCCATGTCGTCTTCGACCCTGGTCTTCTTATTGCAACTGTTCTCCTTCCAACCCACATCGATGGGACCACCCGCGTCGACCTCTCCGTAAGTGCTCTGTTCTTCTTTCATCACGCTGGTAGTGTTCACTACGTCACGGTTAAGAGTGTTCGCCTTAAGCACTTCGTCGACGGGACCGTCCGCGTCGACTTCTCCGTAAGTGATCCGTTCTCCTTGCATCACGCTGGTAGTGTTCACTACGTCACGGTTAAAAGTGTTCGTCTTAAGCACTTCGTCGACGGGACCGTCCGCGTCGACTTCTCCGTAAGTGCTCCGTTCTCCTTGCATCATGCTGGTAGTGTTCACTACGTCACGGTTAAGAGTGTTCGCCTTAAGCACTTCGTCGACGGGACCGTCCGCGTCGACTTCTCCGTAAGTGCTCCGTTCTCCTTGCATCACGCAGGTAGTGTTCACTACGTCACGGTTAAGAGTGTTCGCCTTAAGCACTTCGTCGACGGGACCGTCCGCGTCGACTTCTCCGTAAGTGCTCCGTTCTCCTTGCATCATGCTGGTAGTGTTCACTACGTCACGGTTAAGAGTGTTCGCCTTAAGCACTTCGTCGACGGGACCGTCCGCGTCGATTTCTCCGTAAGTGCTCTGTTCTTCTTGCATCACGCTGGTAGTGTTCACTACGTCACGGTTAAGAGTGTTCGCCTTAAGCACTTCGTCGACGGGACCGTCCGCGTCGATTTCTCCGTAAGTGCTCTGTTCTTCTTTCATCACGCTGGTAGTGGTCACTTACCTCAGGGTTAAGAGTGTTCGCCTTAAGCACCTCGTCGACGGGACCGTCCGCGTCGACTTCTCCGTAAGTGATCCGTTCTCCTTGCATCACGCTGGTAGTGTTCACTACGTCACGGTTAAAAGTGTTCGTCTTAAGCACTTCGTCGACGGGACCGTCCGCGTCGACTTCTCCGTAAGTGCTCCGTTCTCCTTGCATCATGCTGGTAGTGTTCACTACGTCACGGTTAAGAGTGTTCGCCTTAAGCACTTCGTCGACGGGACCGTCCGCGTCGACTTCTCCGTAAGTGCTCCGTTCTCCTTGCATCACGCAGGTAGTGTTCACTACGTCACGGTTAAGAGTGTTCGCCTTAAGCACTTCGTCGACGGGACCGTCCGCGTCGACTTCTCCGTAAGTGCTCCGTTCTCCTTGCATCACGCTGGTAGTGCTCACTACGTCACGGTTAAGAGTGTTCGCCTTAAGCACTTCGTCGACGGGACCGTCCGCGTCGACTTCTCCGTAAGTGCTCTGTTCTTCTTGCATCATGCTGGTAGTGTTCACTACGTCACGGTTAAGAGTGTTCGCCTTAAGCACTTCGTCGACGGGACCGTCCGCGTCGATTTCTCCGTAAGTGCTCTGTTCTTCTTGCATCACGCTGGTAGTGTTCACTACGTCACGGTTAAGAGTGTTCGCCTTAAGCACTTCGTCGACGGGACCGTCCGCGTCGATTTCTCCGTAAGTGATCCGTTCTCCTTGCATCACGCTGGTAGTGTTCACTACGTCACGGCTAAAAGTGTTCGTCTTAAGCACTTCGTCGACGGGACCGTCCGCGTCGACTTCTCCGTAAGTGCTCCGTTCTCCTTGCATCATGCTGGTAGTGTTCACTACGTCACGGCTAAGAGTGTTCGCCTTAAGCACTTCGTCGACGGGACCGTCCGCGTCGACTTCTCCGTAAGTGCTCCGTTCTCCTTGCATCACGCTGGTAGTGTTCACTACGTCACGGTTAAGAGTGTTCGCCTTAAGCACTTCGTCGACGGGACCGTCCGCGTCGACTTCTCCGTAAGTGCTCCGTTCTCCTTGCATCACGCAGGTAGTGTTCATTACGTCACGGTTAAGAGTGTTCGCCTTAAGCACTTCGTCGACGGGACCGTCCGCGTCGACTTCTCCGTAAGTGCTCCGTTCTCCTTGCATCACGCTGGTAGTGCTCACTACGTCACGGTTAAGAGTGTTCGCCTTAAGCACTTCGTCGACGGGACCGTCCGCGTCGACTTCTCCGTAAGTGCTCCGTTCTCCTTGCATCACGCTGGTAGTGTTCACTACGTCACGGTTAAGAGTGTTCGCCTTAAGCACTTCGTCGACGGGACCGTCCGCGTCGACTTCTCCGTAAGTGCTCCGTTCTCCTTGCATCACGCTGGTAGTGCTCACTACGTCACGGTTAAGAGTGTTCGCCTTAAGCACTTCGTCGACGGGACCGTCCGCGTCGACTTCTCCGTAAGTGCTCCGTTCTCCTTGCATCACGCTGGTAGTGTTTACTACGTCACGGTTAAGAGTGTTCGCCTTAAGCACTTCGTCGACGGGACCGTCCGCGTCGACTTCTCCGTAAGTGCTCCGTTCTCCTTGCATCACGCTGGTAGTGTTCACTACGTCACGGCTAAGAGTGTTCGCCTTAAGCCCTTCATCGACGGGACCGTCCGCGTCGACTTCTCCGTAAGTGCTCCGTTCTTCTTGCATCACGCTGGTAGTGTTCACTACGTCACGGTTAAGAGTGTTCGCCTTAAGCCCTTCGTCGACGGGACCGTCCGCGTCGACTTCTCCGTAAGTGCTCTGTTCTCCTACCGTCGCAGATGTAGCGTTCTCTGTGCCTAGCACCTTCGCTTTGGCTTCCTTGACCACAGTCAGACAGTTGCGACTCGAAATGCGACCCCGGTGGTCCTCTTCTTCGCTAGGAGTGTTGACTTCGAAGACCGAGCTAACCCACTGATGCTGAACCATGATATCACCTTCAGAGCCTACCGTCCTTTTGTTCTCTTTGACGATCTCTTCCTCAGCGACGGAACGCTTTTCAAACCCATTTTAAAATATGCACACGGACGAGCCGTGTTCACCACCCACCGCGGAATCTATCGCGCGCGTGTTAGTGCCTTTGGTTGCGGGTTCTCGAACTTCGCCATCGTTCTTCATAGCAGGTTTCTCTGGTTCTTGCTCTACCAGTACCGTTCTCCTAACAGTAGTCACTTCAGCCAATTCTTCATAGCTATCTCCACTTAGTGCTTCTTCACAGTCTCGCGAGACACGTAAGGTACCAGGAGTGTTCTGGAACACTGTCGCATCGTATCTGGCAGGTTTGATCTCCTTGCGAAGAAATAACTGTTCTTGTTGCACCCTTCCGGTTACTTCTTCTACCCCATATTTTCGTTCCACACTCCAGTCTTCACGCGCACCTGGAACCATTGACGCACTGTACCATACGGACTCAGAGCGTTCTCTGATCGATGACTGTTCTTGTTTCCCTTCTTCAGTCACACGCGCTCCATTTATAATCGATTCACACACCTCCTGAAACGTTCCTCTCACCCCGGGACGCGCTCCATACCGCTCTGCCAAATTGTAAGCACTCCTCGCTGTAAATTGGCTGGGTGGTGTCTGTGTCCAAATTGGCTGGGATGGGAACACTTCCTGAGTGTGTTGCGTTGGTTGCTCCAGCAGTCCGACTGCTGGTTGAAGTACTTGGCCGTTCGGTTATAGTAGATAGCCTCTGCGTAAGACACTTCCACCGCATACAGCAAACGACGAATACAAATAGTGTGGGGGGATTACATGGACGCTGCCATCAGGCATCGTGACCACATCGACGATAGAACAACCACGGTACGACGGGATGGCACCGTCCCCGTGTTGTCGACTTGAAAACACGCATCCAGGACTGTTCCACCAGCCGTTTGACGGCTGAGACTTCTCGGGCCCCCAGCCCCAACAGTGCTGGGTCCACCTCGGGTCTTCCATCTTAGTGTTCGTAGCTCCTCCAACTCTCACCAGACAACGCCTTCTCCAGCAAGCAGACTACCCTGCTTCTCCACCAAATGTCGCACACCTCCCCTTCGCGCGGCGCCTCCGGCCGCGCTACTGGTCAGGGTCGGGCAGTCCGCGGCTGTTTGTAGAGCGGGGCCTTGCGTGGGGCGAGCGAGGAGCGGGTTCCAGTTGTAGAACGGTAACGAGCGGTAATCAGTGAAAAGTAAACTTGGTTCCTTGTTCTTTGTAGTAGGTGGGAAATATACGACTGAGAAACTAATGCGCCGGGCTAAAACGGGGAAAGGGTCGATCGCGCTCATGAGGATGACACCCCTTCTCCTACGCTCACCTGTACTCCTGGGCATGACTTCCAACCCAACGTGACACCCGGTGGACTCGATACTCAAGACAGTATATAGTTCGTGTCATCCGTCCTTGAAGCTGGCGAGGCAAGTGCAAACTCCCTCCTCAAGGTCTTCACAATTCCCTCTGCACCAACCGTACCTCGCAGTCGGCGCTTGAACAGTTCCCACTTGATACAGTAGGACCCTGTGTGCTTTAACACGGACTTTACCTTCTTCGCATCTGGTGCACGCTGCTGGAACGACCCCTGCATTCCCGGGTACGGGACAGTAGTAAGAATCATGATTCGAGATCATTAGAAAAAAAATTAAGCATGATGCTGACCCAGATTAATGAAATTAAAGTATCGAAGCGCATATGAGCTTAGCGTTTATTTTTTATATTTATCCCACCGAAGCGTAGCGGAGGCGGGAAGGCCAAAACATGTAGAACTAAACCTAATTTACCGCCGCGTAGCAGCTAGTGTTTAATACATGTAGGTCCTATAATACAAAAACTAGATCGTCTCTGGGAATACATATTTTTAAAAATATGTCGACATTTGCTGTCTCTGCGGGGGGACCCCCTGGTGATCCCAGACATTCTTCGACAAAAAAGGTTCGGAAAGCTAACATTAAGATGGCTAATTTTTTTTGATACGGTTGTTAGCATAATTGTCAATAGCAAAGTAGAATTAAAGGCTGGGCAATGTATTTGGTATCAACCAAAACTGCCAACGCTTAGCTGGTTTTGCGTCTCTTCACGTCAGGTTCAAGCTTCATCGGAGGTCCCGTTGCGGTACTGAGCTTTTCGTTGACGCTTTGTTTCTTGCGCTGCAGTGGCCTGAATTGCATCAGGTTTTCCTGTACAAGATAACTCATCTTCAGCTGCATTGGCATATCGTCGTTTTGCCATGACTGTAAATTGCAGATTGCCGTTGATGTTGATTCCAACTGTATGGTCAATTTCCTTTATCGTTACGTACAGTTTGTCTAACGTTAGCATTAGCCCGCTCAAAAAACCATCATCTGCTTCTCCACTTCTTCTACTAACCAACTCAATAATAAAGACTTACATCGCTGCTGCCATCGCCGCCTGCGCTCTCACCGCCACCAACGTCGCCGCTGACGGAGCCACTGGCGCAGATTTACAAACCGAAAGAATAACGTTAGCATTAGCCCGCTCAAAAAACCATCATCTGCTTCTCCACTTCTTCTACTAACCAACTCAATAATAAAGACTTACATCGCTGCTGCCATCGCCGCCTGCGCTCTCACCGCCACCAACGTCGCCGCTGACGGAGCCACTGGCGCAGATTGACAAACCGGTCTTTTTGCTTTTTCCAGTCTAATCACATACTAAGTACGATATTTTGGATGTTGTCCGAACGTTGACCCATTTACGTTACGCTCACGCAATTAATCCTGTGTGGGCTGTCCATTACTCATTCTGAGGTATTCCCAGTATAAAATGATTATAATATCAGCACAATGTACGACGAATTGAAATCCGCAAGCCTTCCCCTCTCCAGCCACGTCGCTATTGTCGCAATCTGTGGAATAGTGAACCGAAGTGAAATAAGAAGTGGCTCCCGTTCGGGCCTGAGAGTGGTGTCTCGATGCGGCAGCCGCCACCAAATTCTCCTCACTCGGTGGCTCCAGCAACTGTTCTCTGTAAGCAACTTCGATTACCGGTACTATTGAAAAACGCCCTGGAGCGCGAACGCCTTCTGTGAGAACGCCGCGTCACCACCACTCACGATCGGAGCGCCAAGATGAAGGAAGTTGCTTCGCTGCCCCGCACGCCTACGATGGCCGCCACGGCGTCCGACCAGGGACCCAACAGCTTGCACCTGCATGCCGACACGGAGCTTGGAGAGGCCGCAAGGGGCTCGACTGGCGCCGAGGTCGCCGCTGATATGGAGCTCATGGGCGCCACCAATCGTGATATGTTCTCGTGGTTACTGTTTAACTCAGAGAACATGACTGCGCCTGCGGGCGTAGGGGGTCACCCTTCTGCTGACCACGCGCATGCTCAAGCGTTGGCTACTTCAATGGCGCTAGATGACCCGTTTCGAATGCTTGGCCCGGGCGACGACACCAGCCTCCCGCTCACGTTGCACCCAGTCACGACCTCGGCGCAGCTCATCCAAACGGGCGCTCTCACAGTGGAGATGCCAGCCACGACACCTGCTACTACTACGGCTCCGGTCTCCATGGCGGCGCCCACCAAGCCTGTGCAAAATCAACGCGGTATGAAGCGCCCCGCCGCCGATGTGGCCAAGGATCTACACGGCAAGCACCTGACTAACACAGAGGGTCTACTTCGCCACCTCGAGAGTGCCAACAACGCATTGGTTCAGAAGCGCCAGGCCGTGCACAATACCAATATCACGGTTCCCTCGGCGGCAATGGCTACGGCTGCCAAGTCGCCCAAAACGGAGAAAACTCCGACGTCCAGCAGCAGCGATAGTAATAACCCCAGCAACATGACAAGCCTGCAAAGAAAACTCAAGCTCGAGCGCAACCGGGAGTCGGCGCGCGAGTGTAGACGTCGCAAGAGGGAGCACATCTTGGGCGTCGAGGAGCGCTGCCGCCAGCTCGAGCGCGAGAATATGGAGCTGCGCGGACAGCTGAAGGCCGGCAAAGAGGCCATTCGGCAAGAGGAGAAGGAGAAGAACCGCGTGTGCGAAGAACTGGAGAAGATGATTCAGCGCGGCGCCTCAGAGAAGGAGCTCGCGGAGAAGATCGATAATTTCAAGGAGCAGTACTCTGACTACGGTCACGGCCGCCGCTCGGCGCTGAGTTACCACCTGCACCAGATCGAACGACTGCTCCTGCCCACGCAGGTAACCAAGATGTGCATCTGGGCCTTGCGTCAAGACGACAGCTTCTGGCAGGACGAGGAGGACGAGACCAGTCTACCGGTCATCCTAGCCAAAGAGCTGGGACTAAGTGAAGACCAGAAGAAGAAGATTCAGCAGCAGCGGGGGTCAATCTCGCTCATCTGCGAGAACCTCAAAAGTGCGCTGGGGCTACTCTCGGAGCTCAAGACCGAAGTAACCAACAAAAACTCCACCTTAGACATGGAGATGGACAAGCTGCAGAATATCCTTACCCCCACCCAACGCGCCAAGGTGGGTGCTGGTTGCACAAAACCGGTTGACATCTAGGGTTGCTGTGCTAACTTGTGCGTTGTGTTTGAACTATAGTTTATTGTGTGGGTGACTAACAATCAAGCGTGCATGCACCTACTGAACAAACTGTGGCGAAGTGTGCTTTGAGCACGTCGAGAGGAATTGATTATCTTCGCTATCATACGGCTGACGCTAACTACCACAGATGGAGATTGCATGTATACCTGAAAGGAACTAAGCACTATCGTTACTTATCGTGTCCTACCAGGATACACTATCCTCCTGAGAGGACAGAAGTTGACGAACAAGATGCAGGGCGGCAATGACGAGGTTATGGTGGAGCAAGGCAGTGGGCTTACAAGTATGGATAGGAGGGATTCAGTCATGTGGAGCTTGTTTTCGTTTGCGTACTCGTCAGGCGCTCGTTCTTCTTTTCCTCGAAGAATGTCGATACTTCTGTGTAAGGGACGGTTTTTACATTTTTTGCAACTTGTTGGCCTTGTTTGTTTTGAGTTTTTGAGTAATCTAACCTGGTGGTCTCAAGCTAGCTCCAAGTACTACAGTAGTAGAATTGGCCTGCTTTGCGTATCTGATTCTAATCCTTCGCGGGCGTAGTAGCTGGCAATGTGTACTACGTAGTACTACGTAATACTTACTTGTGCTGTTCGAGGAGCGAGCGGCGCATGCGCTTCATGTGGTTGTTCCATTCTTGGCCGTTTGGGTTCGTAAGTCGGTACTGGAGCTCCTCCTCTGAGATACCCTCAGCCATATTTACAAGCGAGCCAAGGACCGTGCGTATGTAGTTGGCGCAGTCTTTGTCTGGGCGTGCGCACTTGTAGTTCCAGAGGCCTTTGTCAGCGTTGAAACCGAATTCCAGCACAGCCTGGCGGTTGGACGTCCTCGAAACTAGCTTGTGCACGACGGGTGCATCCTTCGGGTCCAAGCGCACAATCGAATCCAGCTCAATATGGGTGTTGCGAGGACCGCCACACGATAGCTGAACGCCGTCGCCCGCCTGGCTAAGCGTGACCAGGAAATCCACCGTGATGAGATCCGACCACTTCCATTTGAGGTATTCTTGGTTCGTGTTGGTCACGTATTTCGTGTTGGGGCAGAACACCACACCGTCCGTATAGTGAACGCGCTTGTCGTCGCTGTAGATGCGGCCAAGGCTGTGGTCACGCTTCTGAACACGCTGGATCTGGCGGAACACTTCCATAATTTGGCGGTGCGGCACCCATTTCTTGCGCAAAATGGGCAGTATCGCATGGCGATTGATGTCCAGGTTGCGAATGCCCGATGCGTACGGCCCCCTGCATTTGAGATATACAAGCATGAGCACCCGAACCAAAATTTATGGATATGTGGAAAAACGTACTCTTCCGACAAAAAATCGTTCAATATCCTGAGGCGCTCAACGAACGGCTTTTCGACATGGGAGTCCTCAGCGGATGGGCCTGTCGCGATGATGTCGAAAGAAATGAACACATAGCGCTTATCCTTCTGGTGGAACTGCAGAAACGAAAGGAAAACGTCAAGTGGTAGAATCGGCATATCTTTGCTGATTGGTCAAGAGCGACAACGTACCACAAGTTCGCCGTCGAGTACCGTGCCTTCAGGCAACACCAACTTCAACAAGTCCAAGCCTGACGCAGCAAAGGCTGCATTGGATCGATCAACCAGCACCGTTGTGCCACCAGCCACAACAAGAAAATAGCGAACACCATCCGTCTTCTCCGAAACAAAGTACTCGCGACTTTGAACGAGTGGAATATGCCAGCGCGCAAAGCCCACGGGCATCGTCCCACTAAATTTGCCACGGATGCCAAGTCGACCTTGGTATGCGTTCTGCACCTCGGTTGCGCCTGGGGAAACCCAAGTGGCGCTTAAACGCCTGACCCGAGTTCGGCATAAAGTATTTGACCATTTTCCATAACAAGGACGACATCTCAATAGCGCACTTCCAGCTCTGCCCATTTTCATCCGGCTGACTGAGCCATCCGGTTCACTGCCGGCTCGCTCAGCTCCACTTCAACCTCAAACAACTTTTTGTTCGTGCTCTCTTCGAGCACTTAGTGAGGTCTACACGAAGGTCACGTCCGACAGCCGATACACGGTCCTTGTGGCGGATATTCTCGGCCGCGGGCATCTCGCTCATATCTCCCTCGAGTTGGCGCATGGGGAACTCGCACGAGATAGACACGCGACAGTCATACTGACAGTGCGGCATGAAGATGTCGATGGAGCCGAGGCGCTCCTTCACCTGCACCATGGGCTTGCCGCGCATGTTGGTCTGAGGGTCAACATCCTGCACTATACGCTTGGATTGTGCCATGTTGTGCACTACCTGTTTCTCCTTGTGCTCCGAGTACGCGTCTCCACGAAGCATGCCTTCCACACCACGCACAAAGCTCTTGTAGTCCATATCAGCTACACCAGGCACGAACTTAGCGCCTACAGCCTTCATCTGCTCGTCTGAAAGCACAACGGCGGCGTCCACACCCTCCTGCGACGGGCGGCAGCGTGCATCCTGTAGACACGACGAGATGCGGCCGAGACGCAGCTCCACCTCCACATTGGCGCCGAATCCCTTTTCATCGATTGCAGCGCGCATATCCTGCAGAAACTGGGCAATGGCGGCGTCGGGTGCGGCTGAGTTTTCGTCCACAGAGATAGTCTGCCCGCGGCCAGCCGTGAGCTTCGCCACCTGCGCCTCTGCCTTTTTAGCCGTGAGAGCTGACTCATTGGTACGCGATAGGGAGCTCAGCATACTGTTGAGCACACCGCCCGTCGAGATCTTGGAGTGCGCGCGCTTGGACATGGCAGCAAGAGTGTAGGAGTGACTGCTCTACTTTTGGGGACAAGAGTTATTGTGCCTTTCACCGTTTTTGGCCCGTTTACGCGCCCTTAAACCCTTGATAAACTTCCGGATATAATGATCCTAATTCTAACTTAACGATTGTTTGTATGCTAAAAGATGATTTATTTGCAAATCCTATATGGTCCACCAATGCGAAAACGGGGTGCAGTACTGTATTTGAAAGGGATAGGTTTATTAGAGGTAAACAGAACTGCACCCCTTTTTCGCGCCCTTGAATATTTGATAAACTTCTAGATGTGATGATCCCAAATCCAAATAAACAAAAAATGGTTTGCTAAAATATGAGTTATTTTCAAATCCTATATGGTCGACCCCGCGAAAATGGGGTGCAGTACTGTATTGTCAATTCCGTTCAAAATTGCCGATGCGGGAATCCACAGCATATCGGCATAAGTGGTGCAAATTGCGAGATTAGATCATTCTATTTGCTATGCGACCAATAATTTGCATTCTCCAGTCTGTACGCATACTACAAGCTCGGGTACTCCCGAAAGCACCGCGCGCACACCTTCAAAAAGTCGGAGCGCACGATCCGTAACTGGGTCACGCTCTATGATATTTCTGCGCGTGACCGCCGTCACCAAGCGACACTACACGAACGATTATTGTAACGGGGTACGTAGCTGTAAGTGTACCCCTAGTTACATAAAGTGTGACACATCACACTTCAGAAGTATGAAACGTCATACTTCGGGATATTTGGTACAAGGTACCAAGGTCGTCCGAGGCCAACCATTGGCTGACATTGCTTTTCTATAGGTGACTTATAGTTTGTATATTTAACTCAAGTTAGGGCGTGGTCGCGTGCCCTCTCCACCTGGAGCTGGAGATGGATAATGTCTCCAGGTGAGGTCGCGTTGTTCACCGCCTCTAGATGAAGGACCGCTCATTTGAACTCTAGACCAATAAATCAAATCTCATCTCTGTTCAGTTTCAAATTTGCCGAGCACCAGCATGAGTCGTCCTCGTCCTGGCCCTCCTGTCCTGCAGCGATCGCTGCAACAGCATGAGCCGCTCAGTGAGACTCCTGCCACGGTATCTCCGGTTCGGCAGACATCATCAGCGTTAAATGAATCCACGGACGTCTTGTGGACACCCAGCAGCCTGCCGTTGCCTACGCAGATAGCGCCGACTCAGCCCTCAGGAAATCTCGAGCCTAGCTACTCATGGAGTCCTTTTGTGACGGGGTCACACAGCACCTTGCGCTAGAGGAAGTTATTTTCCGAGAGTATACAAACTCTCAGTGAATGGCAGTTCACAGGTCCCCTCTTTATTTAAAAGAGAGCGAAGTGACCTAAATAAGGTAGATTGTAAACTGAGTATATTTATAGGTAGGTTAAGTTTGGGTTTAATACAAACTATAAGTCACCTATAGAAATGCAATGTCGTTGACCAATGGTTGGCTTTGAACGACCTTGGTACTTTGTACCAAATATCCCGGAGTATGACGTGTCATACTCCTGAAGTGTGAAGTGTCACACTTCATGTAACCAGGGTACACTTAGGGCTACGTACCCCGTTACATCCTCCCCCACTTAGGTTAGGTATACCGACCAATTAGAATGAAGAGGTGTTCGTCACAAACTCTCATTCTCAAAGTCGAAAACCATCGACTTGGCCGCGCGAGCTCGGCGGAGGCTCACTTCACAGTTAGAGCCTCGAGCAGCAGCCTGTGCGCTATTCGTCTAGGTCTCCAATTCGAACGTTACCATCCCTCGTGGCACAGCAAAGAGCGGTGCTAAGACACGCTCCAAGGCTGCGGCCGGTAAGGCGCAAGCCAACAGCACTAAGCCTCACGGCAAAGGCTCTGCACTCAAGGAGGCTACTCAGGTGGCCTCCGAGGCGATCGGTTCCTCGGGTGACGCGGCTGTGGGAAAGCAAGCAAGCACGCGCCGCAGTCCGTCGCCCTCGGCCTCAGACAATCGTCCGAACCCTCGGTTCGTGGAACGTGAGTTCAACTCTGGCAGTGAGGACGAAGCCGAGTCCGAGAGCACGTACGATGCTCCTGCGGGCTCTGTGGGAGGGCACAGCCCAGTACCCAGTGAGCACAAGGATGACAGCGTGCAGTCGCTCGCTAGTGATCAAGGTGATCACAGTCCCAGATCGTCTGTGCGCTCTGCGAGTCCGGCCGTCAAGGCTAAGGCGCTCCCAAAGCCGTTGGCGATGAGGAAGAGAATCCTCGCAAACGTCTCTCGCTTGCCGAGGGTCTTGCGCGTGCTAAGGCCTCTAAAGCCGAAGGCGCCGAGCCCTCAGAGAAGCGTAAAGCCTCTAAGTCTCCACTCCACGAGGAGAAGGAGACTCAACACTCCTATCAGAGTATCTTCGACTCCTCGGATGAAGAGGAGAAGAAGGAGAAAGAAGAGGAGGAGGATGATGCTATCGCTGAGCCCCGGGAGGTCTCGAATGACCTCGACCAGCAGCAGGAGGAATTCCAAGCTGCCCATCGTGTGCGTGGGGGTTCGGTGGTGGCACCCGTCAGCCAGGGAGCTGCCATCAACTCAAGAGGGTATTGGCCTCCCGAGGAGAGCTTTGGGGCTGACCTCTTCTTAGAGCTTCTCGTCGCTCCTCGTGGCCTTGTGGGCGGTCACACTTCTAGGGGCATCTACGAACGTGCCCTTGATCAGAAAGAACAGTTGTTCGTTGACAACTTGGAGGCTGCTCGGTGTGTGCTTCTCGCGCCACATCGCATCCCTCTTAAGGACTTCACGACTTGTCGTAAGAAGCCCGAGACCCGGGGTGGTCTCTATCCTATTTGGGGATACCTCTGGGCTATGCCCGAGAACTGTCCCACGTGGGGGTGAAAGTAAGGAGGGCCATTCCGCGGAGGGCCATGGGACAGACTGTGCGCAGAGACGACACAAAAAAAATCTTTTGTAGCAGCAGTTTTTCATATAATAAAATCGAGTTATTACAAGCCGTGTCCGTCTCTAAGCGGCGTGTCCGTTGCAATATTTCAGTATACAAAATCTAATACTAATTTGGCCGTGTCCGTCCCACAGAGGCGTGTCCGTCCCAGAGACGCGAGATATTTGGGTCTGTGTCTCACTTTCAAGATGGCGCCCAAGCCCAAACTTGCGCTTCCCGCCTGCGGCTACATAGTCGTCTATCTGGGCCCTTCAGACGAGACTCTTACAGCTCTGAAAACCGAGGCAATGGCTCGAGAGTACACACCCGTGTTTGAGATGGTGGGAGGGGAATGCCACGATGCATACCGCAAGCAATCGCGTGTGAAGAAAGCTTCCGGTGCAGTTAGCGACCTCAAGATTGCTTTGACTTCAATCACATCTTGTCTGGATCAGGGGTGGATGCCAACGATTTTTTCGTTTATGCATTCAGCCCCAGGGGGGAATGAACAAGAGAGTCATCAGGATTATCCAGCTCGAGTAATTGATGAAGCAAAAAAGAAGAAGAAGTTTCCAGCAAGCATGCTTTTTGCTATTGACGAAGGTACAAAGCTTCGCGTTTACGACGGATGTACCGAGACAAAAGACGACGGGGCTTCCCGTGTTCTTACGATTCCTGTCGGCTTTTGTGTGATATTCCGTGGCGATTTAATTCACAACGGAATGCCGTACAGCACCGCGAATTATCGCATTCATTGCTATCTTATCTACAAGTGGCTCAAACGGGAACCGGATATCGTGACAAATGTTCTTCCTCCTCATTTCCTGTGCCAGTACTGTGGGGTTAAGCAACCAGAATCGAATCTCATTCGACAACATCGTCGGTATTGCTCTAAAAACCCAGACGCCTCAAAAAACGAGTTGACACGTCGTGCTCCGCCTAAAACGGCTCTGCAATGGACATGTAATGTGTGCGGGAAAATGTTTAACAATGACAGCTCCTACAGGACACATGTGAGTCGTGGTCATCTCAAGAAGCGTAAGGCTGATTCGTAGAGAGAAGTGAATAAAAAAGTTTGGGCGCTTTTTCGGAAATATCTTCTTGTTAATTTAACTAAAGCTCGCGTATCCCCAATATCTGGGTGGGATATTGTGCTCGTGATAGGTCGAGCTGTCTTGTATATTTGTACCGATCGAATTTGAAAGTGGAGGAAGTACTGTGACTGCAGGTTCGTGGTTGGTGGCTACCATAGGCGGTGTTGCTGGATGATTAAGATCGACCCGTTCAAATAACACTGGATCTCGCCGTGAGGTATAAGGTCGATTTCTCACACGTCGATCAAATCGACGACGGCGTTGTTGTAAAGCTTGTTCGGTGTACATAGGCTCCTGGATGCGGACAGGGAGAGCGTGTTGTTGGTCACGACGAATCCACCAGTGCTTGTCAAAGTCAGCAGGACGCAAGATTCGCTGGCCGTTGGATTCAATGATTGATACCAAGTCGTGCACACAAGGACGACCATGAACACCTCGAAACCGGCCTGTGCATCCATCCCGATCGGCGCGAGAGTAGACAATTTCTCGCGCTTCACACCACAACTTTTGGGTCTCTGTAAGTGCCCACACCGTTATTACACGAGCTACCGCTGCAAAGTGATTCCCCTGAAGTAGATAAGGTACCCGAGTTGAATTGCGCTCTGCTAAAAGACTAGTAGCAGATATTGCCGCTTGCCACCACGGAAGTAGCCGTAAAAACACTGTGTAGAGATCGTATCTACACCCGCGCAACCAGATCTTACACTTGGCATGAGCTCCTTCAACAAAAGAGGTATCTCTAACTCCGAAGTGCTTGTAGCAATAGGTCCATGCTGCAACAATTTTGGTTTTGTATTTCCACCAGTGATTTTCAAGGTACTCGGCTAGATGAGGATTCCGACGATGAAGACCTTGTCGTTTTACTTCAAAATCGGCTTTATTGCATCCACAGTGTCATAGAACGATTTCATGAAAGAATCTGTCTGCCAGGTATTTTCATACTTAGGTTGGCCCGGAGCTGGATTCTGGACAGGAACTTGCCCAAGAACCTGACGGGTCTTGCTGAGTACATTCTTGTTCATATG